TTCGACGACTGTGAAAGGAATGTTAACTCACTGAGCTGGTTGCGCAGATCGCTTTGCATGCGTCATCTAGGTCCGTCTGGAAGCCAATGGGCTCTTCATGCCACGATGAAACACGGACGTAGAGATGCGAACTATCATTGGCGGGAGAGCTTTCCAGCACTCCGGTGGTGCCGAGACGCAACTGCTGATGTTCGTTCGGTGCGACACAGAAAACGTCATCTCCCGCCTTCCACTGGACTTTCCTGTGAGCTTCAACCGCATCCATCACTTCCTGGTGACACTGCTGCATGCTTTCAAGGAGGGTGTTTGACGGAGTCGACAGGAGCGGGAGGAGGCGGAAAACCGTTTCCGGTCCGTATCGAAAATGAACGCAAGCAGTGGACTTCCTCTCATGCATATTTGGACGAGCAGCGCTGCCGCTGCTGCTGTTCGCCGTGCGTAAATCGACTAGTTTCTCTTCCATGACGATATCCTCAACAGGAAGCAACTCAACAAGAAGGGTGGAGAGAGCAGTCTCGGGGTGATACCCACGGGATAGCTGTTGCTGTTCTGTGCCTGGAATCGCGCAAGTCACGTCTAACGCGAGGCGCTGCAGTTGCAGCTCGAGGGGCTGCACTGGAGCGCAGTCTAGCTGTACTTCCTCGCCATGGCCGCCTAAAACCTGCTCGCCTGGATCCCAGTAAGGCGCGGTATTTTGGGGTCGCTCAACGCTCTGCTGAGCTCTCGCCTTTGCCCTATGCTGCGTGAAGAAATAGAAGGCCTCAGACTCGTCTGCCACAGCAACACCCTGCGAACGCAAGCGTTGCTTTTCCTTCTCCACTTCCTGCAGCTGTTCCATAGGGTCAGTGGGGACATCAGCGCTCTGTGCTGCGCTGCCGAAATCTACAGGCAAGTAAAACGTAGGATGCCACACAGCAACCTGCAGCCGCAGCAAATCCCAGAACCGAACCCAGACGCCAGTTGAAAATATGTGTGCGAGTGAGGCAATATGTCAGTTCCCATCAAACATCACGATAACGGACAGATGAACTACTAAGATTCCTAAACAACGCTGCACTGCCCAAGCTTCACTGAACCTCGTTCGCAGCACTTCAGTTGTCCCTGTGAGGCCCATTCGACAGCAAATGTTCTAATATTTCTCAAAAGTACCTAACACCCCTCAACCAAGCCGAAATCAAGAGACGCAAACTCACCGGAGAGGCCAGCTTTACAAAAGGGTAGTCGTAGAGAATAAATCTGCTGCTTAGCAATTTATTCAGCGTATCCTTAGGTTTCAGCAATCCAACAATGTTGCATGCAGACTGCTGATTCAACT